CGTCGTGTAGTCTGGTAAGTAAACGCAGTGAGAATCTCAAATCTGAAGTACTTGTTTGTCTCGTGTCAATTAATTAGAGAATTAATTAAAATCTTCTTTATTTTTATTACAATTATTTGTCCTTGTTGTCCACATTTCTCATATATAATTTCCATTAGTCCCGCCTTTCCATAGTTTTCGCTGCACCTTTCATTCTGTGTTTCCTATGTTCCACATTTGATATTATTCCGTTTACTAGGCTCATTTACTCTCTGTCTTATTATCGAGAGCATTTTACTCTCCTCAAAATGAATCAAAGTTCTCTTGTAAAGACGCAATGTCGCTGTGTAATTTGCTCCTGTAATTCGGGCAACAGGACGAAACACTTGACCGAATGAAGTCAGACTTCATTATGTATGAGTTTTGTTTGATAGAACTGAAAAGAAAACAAAAAATTTCTGTTACGCCGATTTACCCACATTCATACAATGGCAGAAAATTCCTTCGAAAAGTCGGTAGCCATCTTCCAAGTTAAATGGCGTGACATCCAAGAAGACAATAACCTTCCAACAGATAACTCTTTGCTCTTAAAACAGAGTATATATTGAGTTCTGGCAAGCGGGTATCAAAATCTCGGAGAAGCAAAGAGCTTTCTATCTATAAGATACTCGAAAATGTACCCACCTACAAGATTACACGGAGTCATAATCAAGAAAAATACAATATCATCGTTAACTTGTGAAATCCTCAAAAATTTTATTTATTACATTCTAATGTACATACACTTTACAAAACGAAGTGAAGTTCTTTGTATTTATACAGAAGTACTTCTTTTGGCTTATTTTGGACTTCATCCATCATCTGGTATGTAAAAGACAAAAGACCACAACGTTTCGGAGACTGGATCTGTCTCCGTCTTCAGGTGGGTGGTGCAGGATAAACCTACTCAGTTGGGCCCGTTAGAAAGAGCTAGTCTCAATCACTGGACCCAATGGGCCCAACTGAGTAGGTTTATCCTGCCCCACCCACCTGAAGACGGAGACAGATCCAGTCTCTGAAACGTTGTGGTCTTTTGTCTTTTACATACCAGACGATGGATGATGTCCAAAATAAGCCAAAAGAAGTACAGTATACACCATCGTCAGAATTCTTTCAAGTCTATCTATATAGAAATACAGTACTTACATTACTTCATCAGCAGGAAGCCACACGCAAAGCAAGACACAATCTTCTAATTACTGAAACAGAAAGAAAGCTGTATGATTAGTTGTGTGACTGAGGGCGTTTAAATTTATGTGTTTATTTTTGTGAATTTATGATTTTTCGCTAGTTATTGGGCTATATAATAAAAGTGTTTCATATACAGAAGTTAGGCCTGTGTGGGCCTAATGTCGAATGAGATGTGGAGAACTTTTTGATCGATAAGTGAGCAAAAATTTGAAAGTATACATCACTGACCCATTTGAAAATATAATCAGAGCATTCACCTAAAAGAAACTTGTGAAAAATATGAAAAATCACAGGATATCAAACAACTTGACCGAGATTCGAATCAAGTACCAAATCAAAAGAGATACCGCTACACCAAACTTCTTGAATTTTTGCGTTTTAAATCCCACACTATGAACAATAAAGATTTTAAAGATGTTGTGAAATAATTTTAAGGGAGGGCCTATAAATGTTTTGGTAAAAGTAAGTAAAAAAGTAAAGGTATCCCTGTAACAGGCCGTGGAGGCCCATAGGGTTGTGAGATGTTGAGGTTCCCACATTTTCTGGAGAATCGGCTCACAGATGGAGGCAAAGTTGTCAGCCTTACGCGCCGACCGCCCTTTTTTTCCCTTGGCACTACAGCCGCAGTGGGCCTAGGCCTACCTCCATGAACTTCTCCGTTCTCTTCGGTTTTTCTAGATCTTACACATTCGGTAGGACTCCTTGGGCGGGTGATCAGCTCGTCGCTGTACACAAACACAGAAAAATGCACACACAAACTGAACATCCATGCCCTGAATGGGATTCGAACCCACGATCCCGGTTTCCAAGCGAGCGAAGACAGTACATGCCTTAGACCGCTCAGCTACCGTGACCGGCCCGACCGCCTTTTACCCCCAAGAATATTCTAAGAATACACCTGGTACTCATTTCTGTTATAGAATGAGTCGACCCCAGATCCATAGTGCGGCTGGAAGAATTAAGTAAATTAAAAAAAAATCCAATAACCTCATCGGGATTCGATCCCGCGACCTTCCGGCTTGTAGAATAGTGCCTCAACCAACTACGCTACCGCATTCCCCCACTTTTTTTTTGGTACGGAATGAAACTAAATCGCAGCAACTGAGAGAACGAAAACTGCTTTAAACTCGTGTGTGTGTGTGTGTGTGTAATTCAACATGAAAGCAAGAAGCTAGTGTTAACGTGTATCATGTACTGGGTGCAATTTCTCTGCTAGAAAAGGCGTTTTAGTTCTCTCTGAATGAAGCAAAGAGTTAACATTCAAACAGACAATGCAACATCATGTCCTAACCTGAACCACACAGAATTTTATTCTACACACGTTCAGAGAAATCTTTTAGAAACAGAATAATACTGTCGAGGAGACACAACTCCTGTTCAGATAGTGCACACAAAAATAATATAATAAACTGCAAAATAGTTATTTGTACTCCGGACTGAAGGACGCGTTCTTTGTATTGTGCCTGTATCCCACTCAGTTTCTCTAGGTTGGAGATCGGTTATTCTGACTGACGGTTTTCATGGTTTTCCTCAGCTCATCCGGGAAAATTCCGTTTAATTTCATCGTTTGTTAATCAACCTGTCGTTTGATGTTAATTAAATTAACCGAGAATAATCGCACAGAACAAATTTTATAGAACGAGGAGATGCATATGGTCCAGACAGAAACAGTATGTAGACAGCCCTCGTGTGAGTGGGTCAGTTAATGGTACATTCATCTTCAAGTTTCGCTTATCTTTCTGCAGTTTCAAGTATTATCCATCGTCCTGTGTATTTTCTAAAAACCGTCCTGTTGATTTTTCAAAACACAACGTTTCGGAGACAGGATTGTGTCCCCGTCCTCCGGTATAACCTATTCAGTTGGGTCCAATACATACAGCTAGCACCTATCTCCGGAGATAAGGACAGGACTATGGATAATGCCCAATCACATAATACTTGTAGCAATGTACCATCGTCACAAACTTTTGGATCCTATTTTCTGCAGTGTATTTGCTTTCTCAGTTACATCGTCTCTGGAAGAAAGGTAGGCTATGAAGGAAGAGAAAAAACAGATATTTAATAGACAATAAATGTCAAGTCAAAGTTAATTTACGGATGCGACAGATGATGAAGGAATAAAAGTTCATAAGTTTTATCAAACAGTGTCCCAAACATATATAAAAATCTTGTAGTCGGAAGTCATATAATTCTTTTGCAGCAAACGCACGCGATATCTCGCTTTGAAGCAACAGTCCCTCTGATCTCAAATTATATGATATTTCAAGTCAATGAATTAAACTTTCCCAGGTTTTTCTCAACGGATAATGTTAACCCTTTTCAAGACTGAATTTCATCTACACAATATATAAAAATTCAGTTCGTACCTCACAGAGAAACACATTACGTTTCTTCGACAAAGCGCAGCCGGTTAATGCCGCCTAGGAAAGGGACTGCTGTTTATTGTGAGATCCATATGAAACCCACAAACGCATTCAGTGGGTGGAATGTAGAGTTCTATATGTTAAAGCCAGTAATACATATAACCTTATATTGTTAAATATCCGTGACCCTTTACAACATAAAAAAATATTTTCCCTCTGAAATAAGCTAACAGTAGAATATGACGGTCTATTAGAAAGCGAGACAGTGATTTCTGGCCAACAGACACCAAAACCAACTGCAGGCAACAATTCTCAAGAGATGTAATCTTAACATTCATCGCCATGGAAACCTGAAATATCTTATTAAGAGAAGACGGTTCATTTAAGAACCAATATATATGTATCCTAGTTAAATAGGGGTAATGGTAAATACGGCCGATCACAGTGGCCGCGCGGTCCGAGGCACGAACAGTCTTCCTTCGTTCGAACGCTGGAATCGTGGGTTCGAATCCCATTCAAGGCATGGATGTCTGTGTGTAGGTAGCGGCCTTGCGACGGGCTGATTCCCTATCAAAGGAGTCCCACAGACTGTGTATAGGATCAAGACACTGAAAAAGCGGCCAAGGCCCAACAAAGGGCTATGGAGCAATAATAATAATAATAACGGGAAATACGAAGCAAGAAAAGGTTAAATTAAACTGTGAGACATTCAGACATGAAAATGTACATGGTGAGAACTTGTTGTTCTGATAGTTCGAACACGTTCACTCAAAAATATCATTATTCTAATTTAAATGCATGGATTATATGAGATGTAATAACAGGGAAATTGAGGGAAGTTGCTATCTTATTTTGCGCTTAAGAGCTTCACAGTGCAGAGCATGGGCTTTCTGACCACTATAAGTCCAACCTGTGGACAAACGATGCAATATCTTTACACATTAGAGATCTGGTGCTGGACTCGTTACTGTGTTGCATTATCCTTGTTGCGTTAAGTACGACTGAGCGTATGTTAAGATGCAACAGCCCTCACTTCCTATAACCATGAAATGAATGAGGAAGAAATAATGTTTTCTCCCAGTGGTTGTCACGAAGATTTCTTCTTCTGGAATACGACATGTAGTCTGTTGAAAGTTAGAGACGTTCGGAAGAGCACAGCGCCTCTGCCTTCTCCGTCGAAGAATAAGCTAACACAAGAAACCAGCATGAAGCAGATAGCAAGAATGTTCTTCCGGAACGTTCGTTGACTATTAACGAACTTAAATGTGATTATTTACTAAATTAGAGTAACTCGAGTTCAAAGATAGAATAATTAAAAAAAAAGTATGGATTATAGTGGTGGTTTTTTGTAAAAATTTTAATTATATAAATATCCAGCAAGTTGTATAGGCACTGCATGCTAAATAATTTTGTATTCTTTGTACACAGATCCTGTAACCATGACAACGGACGATACTGGGGAGACGAAACAGAGGAGGAAATTGAGGGTCACCTAACCACTTTGACATCACGTGTGCCAAGAAATTCCATGTACGGAACCTGAAAACCTGTACTCGCGTTGCGGTAAGTACCCAGACATATGGAAATGTAAACTCCAAATTTGAGTCCGCACATTCTGCAAATATTATTCAACTGTCAGGACCCCCCCCCCGTATCTCTTGTGCACCCTGAAGGCCTATTATTCTGCTTAAAGTTACTCCAAATCTCAATATTCTCCAAAATATTGGTCGACACCTCGTGAAATCTGAAGAAAATTGCAGCAAACTTATCTACAAATATTTTCTACAAAATCAGTTTAAATAAGATGCACTAAATAAAATCAGGACAACTGTTTGTAGTATTGAAAATAGGTGCAATTTAAAATATACACGCTAATTTAACGTTTTAAAATTATTAAACTAAAAATAAATTGTTTATATGTCCCAACACTAAAGTCAATAAGCCATGATGTCTCGCGTCATTTCGTTTTTTTCAACAAAGAAACATATATACTGCAAATATATTCATCAATTTCCGTTAAATTGCCTCTCCACATAGAAATAATAAACTCCTATACAAAGTCGCAACATAAAACAGCAAAAGGTAAAAAAAAGTAAAGCTGTCCCTGTAACAGACCGTGGAGGCCCATACGGTTATGAGACATCGAAGCGCCAATATTTTCTCGACAATTGGCTCACATATGGCGGTAAGTTTGTCAGCCTTACGCACTGGCCGCCCTTTACGCCCAGGAATATTCCTGGTACTCATTTCTCTTAGAGGCTAAGTTCACCCGAGGGCAATATTGTGACTGGAAGGATTAGGTATATTGAAAATAGAAAATACAATGACCTCATCGGGAATGGAAACCGCGATCTTCCGGCTTGTAGCGTAGTGCCTCAACCATTTAAGCTGCAGCACGTCCTCTTCATATAACACAGTAATATTCTAAATTAGGTCTATCATAATCCCTTCTCTTAATCCTTCACTTTATATAACCACCCTACGGCTTACATTTGAGTAAATAACCTGGCTATATGTACTCCCAAAATATTAATATCACTTATTAAATAAATGGGAATCTCTGGAACAAAGTCTGTTGACATGTTGACATGACTGTGAATTTATGTTTGCGAGTTCCTCAACTCTACTTAAGCCACCCACTTTCTCTATTTTCCAAGTCCTGCTTGCTTATGAATGACACAGGGTTAAATTTAACATGTGAATGTCCTAACATACCGTCTCTGTAGTCTAGTGGTCAGAGTTCCTGGCTACAAATCCAAAGGTCTGGGTTCGATTCCGGGCACTACCCGATTTTCTGAGAAGTAGTGGTTCTGGAACGGGGTCCACTCAGCCTCCTGAGGATAGCTGAGGAGCTATTTCAAGGAAATAGCGGCTCCGGTCTAGAAAACCGAGATTAACGGCCGTGGGGATCCGTTGCTCTGACCACGTGACACACTCTATCCGTTAAAGTTGGCACTAACTTCGCTGACAAGCGACGATCGCTGTGTCGGTATAGTTAGTTTGGGGACTACAGGCCACGGATGTGCTAACAACGAATAAATAACGGAAAACCATTATTCTGAATATTGCTTATACATGGAAGAAAACAGTGCCTTTAACTCTCACCTTGTAGAATAAAGTAGACACTGTCTGTTATACACGTAGGTCAATTGCATAAACGATTATGTGGTAATCGGAACAGAACAAATTGGAACGAGGTAAAATAATTCGCCTTATAGTAACAAGCCTACCAGAAGTCTAATTTCTTTCGCACGCTGTTTTCTGCTTCCAGCATTCAGATAAGGGAAAATTCGTCAGAAAGCCAGACTTTCCACGGATAAGAGAAATGTGTGAAGCAGACTTCTTAATGTTTAGCATCACCCTAATGCTGCGCTGTCGCTTTTCTTCCCACCTTTACATCTTCATCTTCTTTGTCCTTCATCGTTCCTTTAACGGAGAAAAGAAAGAAAAGAATAATATTAACTATAATAAGTAGCGTTATATTTCAATTCTAACTTGACTGCAGGCTAAAATACGAAAATAGAGAACATAATATTAAAGGAAGAATTTTCATGAACTTCGAGCGGTACGATACATGTCACGAAGTTTTCTTTGGTTACATTGTGTTTGATATCTTCTGCTTGATGCAGAATTATCCTCCTTGATGTCTATTACACTAAACAGTTCATATCTCCGAAGTTCTAACTACTTCACACACAGAATATTACAGAACTTAACGAAAATAAAATCACACTGTGTATGCTTTTGTAAATATAGACGTTTTTCATAGAAAAATATATATAGAACCAAAAATTTGTCGTCTATATTTTTCTTCGCCTGTGACTACTTACGAAACATTCGATTACGAGTGCTATTAAGCGAACAATTTAATAAACTTTCTGTGAAACACAACGGATTTTCTCATTTCTTTAATTCTATTGGGGTGGGACTGTCCCTTGCACTGCGGCCACTTCTGGCCTATTGTACCAGCCCCAGATGATAGGTGAGGGTGATTGTGGAGCAATTGGTGGAATGAAGATTGGCAGGAGAAACCGAAGAACTCGGAAAGCAAATATATTACTTTTATCTCTAATTTTATGGATCATTGCTTACAAAATAATTCTCCTAATTCTTCGGGCAACTAAGAACAGTTCTGTTAAATCTTACAGTTGTAACCACTATTTTTCATTTATTTAATAGCCCACTCTAAAAATGATTATGATTTCTTTAGTAATGTTCACTAATGCAATCTTCTTCTCAAACTCAGTACTAAATCGAATTACTGAATGAACCCTTCTGCGTTGCGCAGGCTGAACAAGGGTTCCCTTGCCATAAACGCTATCAGAGCAACAGATGCTGAAGAAAAAACGCTGATGCCCAAGTTTAATCTCCAGCAGCATTCGTGGTTTGTTTGCCCTTTAAAAACTATCGGACGTCAATTTCCAATAACATTAGACTTCACTGCTATAATAAACAAAATCGAAGGTCGAATCCCACACAGTCGACATGTATCTATACTCGCATGAACCAGCATTAAATTGCAACGTGAAAAACACGGCCGTTTAATGGTCTGCAAATATAAGCGAAGCAAACGGATAAATACAGCGCATTTCCCGGATACGATTAACATATGCCAGTAACATTATTGCTAACCAAACAATAAAAAAATTTAAAAAGGAAAATCTATCCTTATAGCAGGCCATGAAGGCCTATAGGGTTGTGAGACGTCGAGGCTCCCACATTTTTCTAGACAATCGGCTCAAAGATGGCGGTAAGGTTGTCAGCCTTACGCGCCTGCCGCGCTTCACTCCTCAGGAAAATTATTTAATTAATTCCTGGTACTCGTTTCTGTTGGAGGCTGAGCCGAGCCCAGGGCCATAGTACGACTGGAAGGATTAGGTCAATTGAAAAAAGTAATCCACCTCATCGGGACTCGAATCCGCGACCTTCCGGCTTGTTGCATAGTGCCCCAAATAATATAAACAATATTAATTTTTTTCAAACGCACAGAATTAATATTTCATAAATAATTGTCTTTTTTTTAAGGAATGTACCCGGATTTTACTAGTTTTTTTAAATTCTTTTTTGTTTTCAAGGGTATTAACTACTCCCCCTTCAATGTGGATACGGGTGTTCTTTTCTCAATCTATATATCATTGGAAACAAACTGCAGCCCTTGTGGCCTATTCCTTTCAATGCTACCTCCCATATTAAATCGTTTTTTCCAGTGGAGGAACAAGGAAGGAACTGTATTTGACTGCAGAAGAGAGTTTCTGCAGTGATTATTAATCAACTGATGTGTTATACTTAGCAGAATGTATGGAAGCGGCATGGAAAACTCACTCGCTAGTAAGTTAATTTAAAGGGCCGCGCCATAGCTCAAGCGGTTAGTCGCTGGCTTCCCAGGTCTGGTCAAGTGGGATTTGTGGTGGACAAAGTGGCGCTGGGGCAGGTTTTCTCCAAGTACTTCGATTTCCCCTGCCAATCTTCATTCCACCAATTGCTCCACAATCATCTTCACCTATCATCTGGGACTGGTACAATAGGCCAGAAGTAGCCGCAGTACAAGGGACTTAGTCCCACCCCACTAGCAATAAAAAAAAAGTTAAGTTAAAACTTTTAGCGGAGAGAATTTGTAGTCATATTTTCTTCGTCCTGACACTAAAATCAACGCAAAATGAGAGTGACAATAAAACACCGCTGTCAAAAGTACGTTAAATTTGTCGAATCGAATGTAATCCTCGGCGGTTTTGCGTATACATGACTGACAGTGTTTGCCTGATAAATAATTCCATGAATATCAAAAGAAGAATGTCACAAATGTTGAAACAAATCGATGTGTCGCTCTCTCCAGTAGCAAAATTGCAAATTTCACCCGCCTAACACACACACACATGTACATTGGGCTACGTACGCACGTTGTTATTCTGTATAGGTGTAAGCCAATGCCAAGAAAAATTTCCAGGCATGAAATACGACTCGTTACGTATCACAAGAAAAAGCTAACTGGATTACAGAACACAAATTTAAATAAGATCAGAGATGTGCTCGATATAACACTCCTCCGTCTATTCGGTCAGGGAATGTGGTTCCAAGTGTAAAAATAATTTAATTTAATTCAATTCTTATTTGTTTGCTTTCTAACTAAACAGTCCAAAGACCAATTACAAAGTGAGCACGATTATAAGAAAGAAAACACAAAATATACAAAAACAAGGAAATTTATATCATACGAATAATTCAATTCAATTCCATTCTTTATTTGCTGAGCCAACAACCACAAGGCCAATTACAGACAGAGCATAATGTAGATACAAGTGATTACACTATGGGAAATCTCATTAGAAAGTCAAAGACAAATTACAGGCCAGCACTGGGGGGAGAAACACATTGATGCAGACAAGTAAACAAATAATAATAATAATAATAAAAATTTCATTAATATAAACCTAAGTTGAAGAAAGCAGTCTTCTGGGATGTGACGCCGTGTAGAGGTTGTGTTACCCGACGTTTTGGAGGAACGT